GTCCGTTGTCTGCTAGATCATTTCTAAAGTTGAACAGTGGACATGGTACATTCCCAAACGTTTGGCCGGCATCGTAGTCGGCATCGTCAGTGGGTATCGCCATCCTTAGCACCATACAACAACCCGTCAGAGACAATTGAAGCCGATCCTTTGACCAAACGTATGCTAAACAATTATGGTATCTCCCCTTCTGCCCCAGTGTTATTCGCGTTTCCGGTAGCATCTTATCATGCCTTCACTATTAAAATTTTTACCGTGTTTATTTAGATAGTGTGATGTGCTCCTTTAAGCGACATGAAACCTTCACACTCCAACTGTCGTTCTCAACCCCACCACCACTTCATCCTTGTGCAGGGAATGTTGATCAGAGTCTGCTTTATTATTATGCAGTCCTCTTTCCTAGTCCTATCCCAGTATCCCTCTTGCTCCGTAAAATCTGTCTGCTCTAACCCTTGTTCACATATTTCACTCGACTCCTGCCACCACATCTGTCCTACTCAAGGCGTTATTCGCCCTCATCTGTGTCCAGGTGACTAATTCGAGGCTCAAGCCTCTGAGTGTCATGGTCACCCCTGGTACAACAGATCTACCGTCAGCCAGCTAGCTCCGGTCCCCGCCGTCTCTATCCTGTTTCTATCCCCAATACCAAGTCTATCATTTGCCGAGTTGTGAAAATAAGGTAAAACAGCTTCTATTCAACGAAAAGAGACTGCAACCACACAAAAGGCCACACCATCTTGATCTTTATACCTTCGATTGATATACTAACATAGAACTTGCCAACGAAGAATTTAGGCATAAGAAGTAGTCAATAGAAAAGAGAAATATAGTTAAGACTAACTTGTGTTCGAGCCAACGATAGTCAGCAGAAGAGGATAGGACTAGACTCTCGGTGCAAGAGTTTCGCTCAGTTTCGTCAGCATCGAGGGCCTCGGCAAGACAGCTCGGCTCGATGGAATATAGGGAGCGCATGAAGAGAGTATTGAGTCGAGTGCAGACGCGATATGGAGAAATGACTGCCCAGGGCGCGATCACATTTCTCAGGTCAATTCGACCTGCAGGCCCAGTGGAAGTCAGGGCAAATGAAGCCATAGTGCCTGGATTGGCAGAATGGCGAAACGAAGCGGAGTTATGGAAACGGCGCTGACCGGCCGCACGTTCATGCTCGGGATTGAGCCAAAATATTAACTGATCCGCGCGCAATTGACACCAATATCGACGCCATACGCCAAGCCCACCTATCTCTTCAAAAACATTCTGTATGTAAGAAAAAAGCAAAAATAACATGAAAGAAAATATCAGGACAAGATTCCGGAGGTATAAGAATACATTTTAGGAAGCAAGGCCGTGAGGCCTACTGATATAACACTGGTAAAATCAATATACCAGCCCATCTCCACCTTAGGCGAAATAAGGTGAGTAGGTTTATAAGATTCCGTTAAATAGATCATTTTGAGTATCCTCTATAGGGTGCTGGACCAAGAAGAATCTTAAAAAGATTAATATTTACGAACATTTTATTATAAATGGCGAAAGGATGGGAGTCACAAACTAGCCTTGCCGGAAACCAAAGAATGAATGTCTTTTGATTACTGAATCATGCAAAGACATGAATGGGTGATGAGCTCAAGCATTAACCAGAAATGGTGGCCGGAGAGAGTACTATTAACGTCTTATATCTGATTTTTCGATATCAACAAGGCATCCCATGATTTGGGTAATAGTTCATACCAAATATCTACTCAGGATGAAGGGGGTCAGGGCTTTTTCTCTTCAAAAATAAATTTGCGTTTGATCTAGCAATGTTGGTCGAGAAATTTGGTTTTTGAAAGGATATGCACTGTGTGCAATAATCATGAATCAGCTAATCTGTTAGAGCCCATACCAGGCTAATTTGGCCTCCTACTACTCGATATTTCCCGTTCTCTTACCCTCATCCTAGTTTTATCAAATAGCCAGAGGAATTTCTAGCATAATCTGCAACACTCGTTCCTCCTGTTCTAAATGTCGCTTTCTCAGTTCATCTGAATCTAATTCCTATTATTATGCGAAACGTTAGGTTATACATAAATAAATCTAGGGTCCTGAATGGACCATATCTTCAGCAACACTCGATTTCTGAACACAAAAACCTTTGAAGACGATTTGGTTTTCAGATAACTTCTTAGAATTAGGTGGATAATTCTCTCTCCAGGGCATAATCTCAAAAAGAAAATTTAGTGCTAGTTCGACCTCCTTTTAGCATCATGATTGGAACGTCAGAAACCTTGTAGAACGAACCTAGTCCCGTGTCCTCTGCCATAGTATTCGTGATGCCAAGCATAGGAACATTGACTTGGTACATTCTCAAAGGTTTCACAAGCATCGTCAGAGAGGGTGACATCACCAGAAGAGTTACAACCCACCAAAGTAAAAAATGAGGGCAATCCCCTTGACCAATTTTCTGTTCAACTATTATAGCATCAAGCATCGCCCATATTATCTGTTATAGGCTCTGTTACTGCACCCCTTTCTCTTAACCTCACTTAATATGGCCCATCTATCTATTCACACAATAATGTGCTCTCGTTTCCTCCAATTTCGCCTATGAGCGCATCGCAACGAATGGGTTTATTCAAGCATAATCATTTCTACCACCAGTACCAAGTATAGTTAACAGGGCTCCTGACTTTCATTCAGCCCCCCCTTCGACTACCCAACTTGTCAATTGGCCACCGCTAAGTATCAATCATTACGTAGGCATATAGAAAAGCCAGGTTTCAAAGAAGTCCTTAATAGATAGGTATTTGAGTACCTTTCCTTTTGTTTAAAGAGGCGAGTGAAAGGGATTTGTAAGTTGGCCTCATCGGAAGCTGTAGAGGTTTAATGTTCCATGGAGGACGCCTACACTCAAAAACTCCAAAATTTCAGCCCCCAAAATAAAGAGAAAATTAAAAATGATATTACCAAGTGCCCCATTTAGAAACGGCTGAAAACAGTATAGAAAATCATTGAAAGTTGGAACGAAATAGAAAAGTTTAAACTCTGTTGGTCACAGCAGAGGGGAAAAAGAGAAGGAAGACAATGCAACCAGCCTAAAATGTATGTTAGCTAGTGTTGGCTGTAGATGTGAAGACCAAGATTGTGTGGCCTTATGTTTGGTCACAGTCTCCTTTAGTTTCAAGTGTTGGTTCGACATTGTTTTCGAAACTTGTCCAGAGCGTCAGGGAGACCTTGCGGAACATACCTAGTCCCGTGTCCTCTGCCACAGTATTCGTGACTTCTAGCATTGGACTATTGGGTAGGTACATTTTAAAATCTTTCATCGGCATCGATAATAAGAGGCGCTACTTTATATACCCTTGCGTAGTCTTCCATGTCAACTTCTGACTGGATGATGCGGTGCCCAGGTTTGATTAGTCGACTAAGTAGAATACACCTAGTCCTAAGTCGTCTGCAATAGTAGTTGTCATGATTCCCAGCATGACAAGAAGACTTGATACATTCTAAAACGTTTCGCCGGCATCGTAGTCGGCATCATCAGTGAGCTTTGCCAATCTCCGCACCAAGCTACGAACGCGTCAGAGACAAGTGAAGTCAATACCTAGACAACCGTTCTGCCGAAAACGGTTACACTATCTTCTTTCTGTCATTGTCTATCTATCTACTCTTTACACTCTTATCCCACTGCCGCCTTATCACAACTTCTCACTTGTTTACATTCCAATCGTCGAAATGTGCGCCCTTTTGTAACAAACCTAGTGTGGCAACATCACATTTGCTATTTACCCCGGCCATTCTTTCTCGTTGGGCTTATCCGACACGGGCCTCCAATCCGGATCCTTTCATTGTCTCGTAGCTCTTTCTGGTTGACCGATTTCACTCGGATCCAGTCACTGTGTGCATTTCACTCCAGGCTCTATTTTTCAAGGCCCTAGAGGCACATACACTGCAGCTTCACTGAGCGGAGCGCTTAAACTCTGATTCCCATGCTTACAGATATCGGGCCTTCCCTACACTTGTCGTCTTCTTGATTAAACCCATGTCATCTTAGCAAACTGCGGACGCCTATCTCTGGTCGCATGCGGCATCTCAAGTGAATTTCTAGTGCATTTTGGCCAAACCCCTAATTTATATGACGGTGTGCTTATCCGTCTGTCTAGCTCCCTGACTGCCAGGCCTCCAAAGTTGTACTGGTTTATTCAAAATGGCCATCATTCACTGTCAACGTCTTCGCTTAATTGCCGAATACCCCTGCCCCCCCTTTCGTCATCACAATCCTGTTTCCTCCGATTAGCGGAAAATCCTTGGTCCAGGCGTCTCCTTTCTGCTGGTCTTGCTCTATTGTTTTCCCAGATTTTGCTTAGGCAGTAGGCAAAGTTATCGCTAACCTACCTTCTTCTAGTCTCCTGTTCATTAGATTTGTTTCC